TAGCGGTGAACAAGTCCAAAGAAACCATGTTCATTGAAACCATGTCCAAAGAAACCATGTTCAAACCATTTTGCAGCTGAGAATTAAAAAGGAGTTGTTCACCTGTTTAACAGTAAAAGAAAGAGTTAAGTGGAACAAAAAATTTTTTTTAGATGGAGTAATTGATACTATTTTATTTATTGGAAACCAAAGTTTTGCTTATTGGGTAAAACATGAATGAGTTTGGTTTATGGATGATAAAGTGGACAAGGCTCCTAAGATATAATGCGACAATTTTCTTGCCCTTGTGATTTACTTATAGTAAAAAAAATTTACTTGTAGTTACTTGACAAATATGATCCCATCTTAAATACTCATCTAGAAGAAGTTAGTAGAAAAAGCAGGAATAAAAAGAGCATGAAGGTTAGGATTTATTGATTACAGTTTTGAGCAAGACAACTGTTAACACAATCATTATTGTTATTGAAGAACTTATCAAGAAACCTCTTGTTAAAGATGTTTAATCTCCTGAAAAGTTCGGTTGAAAGAATTTCAGGACCCAGTATTGCGGCTTCAGGTTAATGTTTTCTATGTTATTGTGGATACTGCCATTACAGCAATAAAAGATCGTTTCAAAGGAAACGATGTTAGTATCTTAAGAGATATTGCTTGTCTGGATCCTCAAAACACTCCGTCTTTGCGTGAACATATTGACAAAAATATTTTTTATGATTTAGCCAATCTTGTTGGTATACAGAGCGAAAAATTATGCACAGAGATGACATCGTTGGCAACTAATTTTCCATTAGTGAGTAAGGCTGATGAAACTGAATCAGAGAAATGCTCGTCCGAAAAAGACTGTTTTTGCTTATGAATTTATTTTTATAAACGTGCCGAACAAAAGTCCAATAAATCAATGTGAATAAAGATTTTTTTTTGCTAAATGTTTTGATACTATACGGGCTCTATGTTTTCGAGCAGCCGTGGCGCAGTGGTAGCGCACTTGCCTCAGTAACAAAAGATCTAAGGTTAAAACCCCACCTCTGGGCAAGTTTTGCGACATCGGTTTGGAAGGAGGTGTAAACTTCTAATTAAATGCTCATCCGCGGTGCTCATGATAAGACCATTAGGACTTCTTGGGGTACCTAAACAAAATTAAAAAAAAAAAGTCTCATTCTTCCCCCTAAGGGCTCTTTAGTGTCAGTCCAACCCAGTGCTTTAAGTATGTATTCTTTCACAAGAGGTTATCTCCATTTTTTATCGCAAACGAAATTTGATAGACTTAATTTTTAATCAATTTTTCCTGCAGTTGGTGTTCTGACTTTTGTTGCTGATGAAAAGGTGGCATTAAAAAAATTTATGATCAAATGGCTGCTCTTCATCCACAATTTCTTCTCTTTCATCTTTTCCTATATGTCAGATCAAACATTAAAACTAGCTCGTGGTTATACATTATAGTAACTAGAACTTTTAAAAGTTTTTCAATTTAAAACTAAATTAAAAATAACTTTTTGGTTTTAAAAGGCAATCATGAAATGTTGCCCTAAATTATCGATGGTATACTTTTTGTTTATTGTGCTCGTCGACATTCTTCTACCAGCTTCTCTTTATATAAATAAAGAGTAGCTGGTAGAAGAATGTCGACCAGCGCAATAAATAAAAAGTATACTATCGATAATTTAGGGCAACATTTTATGATTGCCTTTCAAAATCAAAAAGTTCTTTTTCTTCGTCCTACTAATCCATTTTTCTGCGGGTGAGAAGCAGACATAACTCTCTGTTCTACTTAAGTTAACTCATGTAATTGTTTACATACCTCATTTACGAATTCACGAAATTGGTAACTGATTTGAATTTCAAAGCAAACATGCCAAAAATTATTATATTAAATAGATTCAGTCAAGTACCACATGGTGCGTATTTACTTCAATTCTATCTTTGAAGACGTTAGATCATCTTGCTTTTAGCACTGTTTGCAACTCTTTATATATTAACTGATATTAGCAGCAATATTTTGCAAGAAACATTTTTGCGCAATTTTTCCTTGTAACTTTTTCTTTAAATTAAAAAAGTATAAATGTATACTATGTAAATAAATGTCATAAACAATTTGTTTATTCAAATGCAATGGCTACAGTAAAATGTGGAGTGAATAGACTGATGTGGTGCACAAGCATCATGACACCACCGATCGGATTGATCGCATTGTGACCAGGTTAAACGAACGCCACGGGGTTTTACACAAAACGGGTTATCACATATATCTTTATTATCAACGTTAGTTTGCATACGGTGTACAATTCTAGCACGAATGTAGCGACGATATAATGTAACAGCCGTAGGATCTACGGGATTTGATATTTGCATTATTTATGACAGCCTCCGCAAACATTAATGTAAAAATGCCACAACTGTTTCTATCAAGTTGTTGGGGGCATTAAACGCAACTTTATTCCAAACTCCAAGTTCGTTAGTAACAGAACATCGTGATGCCATATATCTCGTAAACATATCAAGCTTCAGACTGTTATTGCCATTAAGAGAACCAGCAATTCCAACTGTTTTATCAAGAGTATTGCCAATTAGAAGTATCCAGTGGCTGTTGTTAACGTGGAGAGGTAAAAGAATCCATTTGTACTTACATAAACGGACTTTGGTATATAGCCAATCCTCTAGGTTTTTCTCGTGCCATTGCTGAGGCAAAAAAGAAGGAATAAACATAAACTAGGTTGCCCTTTTTGGCCTTATTTAGGTCTATTAGCAAGTTAAGGTAAGCATGGATTACAGTATCATTTAACCATTCATTTGAATTTAGAGTTGCTAAATCTTTCCTGTTAACCGTGCAACTACTAATAACAAAATTGTCTTTAGATGACAGACCAACAACTCGTGGTTAAGCGTCTTCGTATTCCAAAGAACTAAATTTTTCCATAATTGCGTTATATTCCTCGTAATTTTTGGAGACAATTTCTTTATTTTTATATTTGTCATTGTCGCTTTCGGCATCAGGACCAGCATTAACATCGCAATCTCCAACTCGCGGTTTCTTTCTCCCCAACCGTTGTTTGGCAATACGCTTATTTCGACGTAGTTGGGTTAAGTTTATTGACTTGTTCTCAGATATAACCGGCGCGCCAACTAAACGTTGCATAGCTTTAATGTGGTAACATAATTTAACTGGTCGGCACGAACAAGTTTTTTTGAGCCCATTTAATTGCACCAAGTATATATTGTTACTGGTTTCTTTAACCTAAAAACATTTTAAAGATGAACTGAACTGGATTAAACCGGTAGTTTCGAGAACGGTCTGAGCCCTAACATCTTCAGATGAAGCGCAAACGTTTTTTTCTTCTTTGACAACATTGTTTTTAAAATCGTTATTTTGACGTTTGATTTCGAAAACTAGTTCTTCATGTGGTAGAACTTTTTCTATACAATGTTTTCTCTCGCAAGAGCGAGGAAATTCATCATCGGCCAGGCCGGGTTATAGGTATCTGGCCGGGCCGGGTTTTAGGCTTTTGGGCCGGGCCGGGTAGCTTTGAGTGCCGTGAGTTTGTTCCAATTTTAAATGATTATTTATTTGATGGACACGAATAAATATATGTTTAAAAATAAAATCTTTGATCGTAAACATGTATTTATCCGTGATCATGCAATAGGCATTAATAATAAAAGCATGCAATAGGCATTTTAATAAAACTAATATTGAAGATGATACAGTGTTTTCTGAGAATAAATCCTTAAATCTGGTATTAACATTCTTTAACGTTGAGGTAGCTCTTAAAATCTTTTTGATTACACTTCATCAAGCTGCTTGGGATATTTTCAACATAGAAAAAGATCAAATGTGTTTATCGTTCAACTACAGGTACATATGCAACGTATATTAGTACATTAAATACTTAAAAAATAAAAAACTCTTTACTAAATATCTCTTAAACAATAACTATCTTAATTAACAATAAACTCTGTAATAGAAACCAAATAATGGATAGATATATTTGGCAAAATTTTAAAACACATATTCTTTGTTTATTTGATTTTATAATAGATCAGATTTATCTTTTGTTCAAATAGAATACTTGATATTGTATTTCCTCGACGTTAAAGAAATTATCTTTGCATTCGCAAGCTTAAAATGTTGATCAAAGGTTTTTTGTCAACATTTTAGTTAGAAAGCTTATCCTAATTGCTTTATTTGCAAAGGTCGCTGAATTTTATGTGACGCGCGTGTTTGTGAAATAAGGAACGTACGATGCGTGTTGAACAGTAGAAATCACATTTGAAATCCGTAGCGCAACAGTTAGAAGATATATGTTATTATTAATTGCTGTTAAATTTGAATACAGAGAGAAAATAGGGAACAGAAGGCTTCAAATGCTTGGGGACCACGAAGTACTTAAACCGCCCCTGCATACGTTGTGTTTTTTCCTTTATGAGAGGACATTAATTTGAAATGTTCAGAGCCTTCAGTATCTTGGTGCATATCTCAGATATTTTATGCTAATGAAGCGTAAAAAGTGTATTTAATCAACTCTTTTTATGTTGCCTGCATAAACTCAAATGAAAGAAAAACAATCTGTTAAAAATGTAGCATTAAAAATGTTCAGGAGGGTATCAGAGAGTGTAAAATGTTCAAGAAAGTATTAGAAAGTGTCAACAACAGAAAGGTACTAGCTCTCATTTGTCTGATTCTTCCTGATTTGTCTGATTACGGCTAGATCCCAATTCAAATACTTTTTTAATCTGATGAATGGTATCTTTTAATTTTTATTTCATTCGGTGCATTCAGACCATTAGGAAAAAATAAGGGGGCAGAGGTTGATTTGGTATTTGGTATAGTAAGAAAGGGGGCAATTTTTAGTTAACAAACGCAAACTGAAAATTCAAAAATAAAATTCCAAGAAGTGCATGCACATTATTGGTGCTTTTCGTAGAACGCGCTATCGCTACCGTCTTTGTTAAATCGTAAAACGATAATGTTTTAAACGACTTTAAGTTAAGCGTGTTGGTTACTAAGTTGTCGTCTATTATTTAATTATTTCGTTAATTATTACATCATATAATATTCAAAAGTTACGTTACATTAATTAGGTTATTATATGATTAAGTTGAACATCTAAAAGTCATGGATTGTTCCATGGATGTGTTTATGTGTAGAAAATGCCGATCAAAAATTTTTGAAGGGAAAGATTTACTTCAAAATCACTTAACAAATACTAAATGCTCCCTATGGTTTTTGCAATCTGATGAGATTCTCCCATGGGTGAATGAGTTAGTTAACGAGGTTTGAATTATTATTGCATATTATGTTTTATATGTGTGCATATATTTTATTATTGTTTAAAAGTATAAATTTAAAAAAATTGAAAAAGATGTTTTAAGCAAAACAGTTATTTCCAGGTGAAAAAATAAAAATTATTAAGCTTAAGAAGATTCAAATATTAAATGTAACTATTGCTACTCAGGTAAAAATATCTCAAAATTATCCCAATCTTGACTTTTAAAAAAAAGCATCTCAACTGGTAACATTTATCTGAAACCAAGTTTAGGAAAACAGCTTAAAGTTGCCAATTATAACCAAAAATCCGCATTCTAAAAAGACTCAGATTCTGTCAACAACCTAAAAATTGGACACTGCAACAATGGTCTACTGTGATCTGGAGTGATAAGAGTAACTTTCAGCTATTTGCACATGCAGAAGGATATTTTTAACGACCTCATATTTTATGTCCCTTCATCCCAATCTACAAAAAACCAACTTTCCTTTTGTAGATTAGGATGCAATCTACACAAAAACAAGCATCCTTTTTCAGTTATGATATGGGATGCACATGTGCTAAAAAACAAAATGATCATGTTTTCTCAAAAAGATTATAAGATGAATGATGTCAGTTACAAACAAGTATTAAAAGTTCAACTATTGCCTTTTATCAACATCCATCATGCAGCAACTTTTATGCTAGTTAGTGCATTTTGCCAAAACAGTCATGGGATGGTTGTAGAGCAATAGTATTATAATATTTATATGGGCTCTGAATTCCATAGATTTTAATCCTATTTAAAATCTGTCGCTCACAGTTATATGAGCAACAACCATTGATTTGAACCACCTTAAGATTAAATTGAACATGTCTGGTTACAAGAGATAACTTCAGAGTTGTGTCAAAATTTGTGCATTTCAATGCCAAAGAGGATCTCTGAAGTGTTAAAATTAAAAAGTTATCCATTGAAATATTACCAGTTGTCATCTTTATTGACATATATTTTTTGCGTGTAGTGTTTATATAGCTAATCAATCATAAAATAAAGTTACATTTGGAATAATTGTCTACTGCTCATTATTTACATAAATTTTAATAAAGTGCTAATCCTTTGTCCACCACAAGAAAATTTTGATATTTTTTTTTATTTATGTGTTTTTATACAACAACCAAAAAAAAGAATACATAAACAAATAAAAAAACAATAGTATAAATTATTTTAATTAAAGATTAAAAAAAAATTAAAAGATTTTTTTTTAATTTTCCCAATATAAAAAATACCGACGCGGTAATTAGTTTATCTCCATTAAATAAGTAAATAACTGCAGAGTAATGACTCACAGGAAATAAAAATAGGGGTAAAGTTTTCTGCACAGTTTTTAAGAATATTTGTCTAAAGAATGGTTTTATGTTGATCTAGATTGAGTTTAAATCTTTTTTAGACCTTGCAATACGTAATAAAAAGATGCTCAAAATCTAAATTTTTTTCTTTATTTCTCAAACTAAACTCTGGAATTTCTCCTGGTTTTTCAAAAACAAAATGGCCTTTAAGTTTGTCATTTAAAGTTATTTTTAATTGTTTGTTACAGAGCCATTATTTTTCTTTATCATTTTTATAAAACTTCTCACAGTTCAACTTGACTTGGACTGTTTGTCAACAGGGAATAAAAGATTCCATGTCTTTCTGAATTCAAGAAGTTACATAAGAAAAAAATTTTCAGCAAGAAGATGAAAGATTTCTACCAAAGGCCCATCATGAAGAAAATCATGGAACTAGTTCCAGTCTGCTTTGAGGTAGTTGTAAGAGGTAAAATAGGTAAGAGGTGGGATAATAGAGGGATTCCAATGACGAAGGTTTGAATCAAGAATGAGATAATAGTTTTAGGATCCAGAAAGTAGACATAATTCAAATAGAGAGGTAAATGATTCTGATTGTCTAGAAAATAAGTTGGAAAGTTAACTATTTGTGTTAGAGATTGAGAAAAACAAAACTTGTGGGTCCAAATGCCTGCAGAATTACTGACACCAGAGCCAAGCCATTCATTGTGATGAGCATTAAAGCCACCAACGACAACGATATTAACTGAAGGATAAAAAGACTTGATCAATTTGATCAGAAATAACATTAAAAAGAGTGAAGTCTTGATGAAATAACATCAAAATAACATCAAAAAGAGTGAAGTCTTGAGAAAAAGGAAAGTGGTATTATTCAAAGAGTAAGATGATAGAGTGAAGTGGTGCTAAATGAAAGCACATAAAATAATAGTCTGTGGATTCAAACTTAGTTTCTCGACAAATGGGTGTATTTTTACGAATGTATATGCCCAGGCCAAGCATGTGACTATTGGAGTCTTTACGAATCAAAGGAAGATAACCATCAACATTAAAATCACAAGATGCAACAGCTGAACCCAAATTTGTCTCACAAAGAGCAATGAGGTCTGGTGAACTTTGCATGAGATAAGACTCAACAGAAGAAAAGTTACTTCGAAGACTATGAATATTAGTGAATGATAGTTTTAGAGAACTTGTTGATGACAATGGTTTTTGGGTTTTACCATAGATATGTCTTTACCAGAGACATGCCTTACCAGAGAAATGCCTTGCCCAGTGACTCTGATCAATATATGATTATTTTGATCACAAAATACTTCAAATTTTTTCATTTTGTTATCAAGTGAAATAGCTTAGATAAAAGCAGTCAAGTTCAGCAATTTCTCTTATCTTTCTTAATGATTTAGTTTTGTTGATTTTTATATCTGATCACTTGATTTCCACAAGTTTCCATTGAAAGAATGAACCATCTGGGCCATTAAGTTCGTTTCTTTTCTTCCTGAGATCGAAACCTAATGATCTCTCTGCTTCTATTAATTAAGGACTCAAGTAAATGTTTTTAAAGACTACTTTCTTTCTATGCAGTGCTAACAAAAGTTTGCTTCTGTTCTCAATGAGAAGTTGGCCAGGTTTGTCAGGTTTATCTTAAATCATCTTTCATTTTTAATCTCTGTACTTTGTCTTTTTCCATGAGAATGTTTGTGATGCTCAGCTTTTCATGCTCAATTTCAGGATAAACAAAAACAGTCATACAAAGCCAACTTCTTCTGTCTCTTATAAAAATACTTTTTGCCAACAATAACAAGAAATACCCATCTATTAGTAACAGTTTTTTGTAATCGTTATTATGCTGTTTGATTGTTACAGAATATTGTTTAACTTATTAATGGTTTTAATTTTTATCACAGCATCTTACTACCAGTGTGGTGGGGATGAAATTTTTTGTTTTTCTAATATAATTTTAAAGTAGTTTTTAAGTTTTTGTTTCTATATGTCCAAGATATATTTTAATTAAAAATATAAATTACTTTTTATTATTTTCTTTTAGGCTGAATGGACCAAAGGTAAGCTTTATTGCCCAAATTGTAAAGCTCGAATTGGATCTTTTGATTTTATAAATATAATACCATGTGAATGTGGAGCTGAAACTATTCCAGCTATATACTGTGTAAAAAGCAAGGTGGACCATAAAAAATCAAAGATGCCTGTGATTGATTCTCTTACTTCAAATAATTTACATCTTGATATCACGGATAATAAAAATAAAGGTATATTAGAAATTGAAATCAATGACTTGCAATGATTTTCAAGTAAATTTTTCAATCAAAGAGAACTTAAACATTTTTGAAATTGTTTTAAAAAAAGATGACTATATAAGTTATAGCAACTTTCTATTGAAGAATAACGTTTTCTAAAACTTTTTTTGTGTTATGAAATCTTGTATTTACAAGAAGATTTATATGTGAAATAAATTTTAAATGATTTGTTGATGGTTTTTTTTATAGATAACTAAGTGTTTGAATTAGCTAATTAACAAAGTACTTGAATTGAATTATCTTGATTTAACGAATATTGTAGGAATAAACAAACAATTTTAACCCATAAAGTTTTGTCTTTCTTGATCTGTCTTTTTTATGTGGTCTTATTAATCACAGCGCCTCCAGATAATGTTTACATAATAGAAACCTTATTTTTGTGCAAATAATGTTTTGATACTTTAATTTTTCACCCCGTAGATATAGAAGTGTTGTGCTATGGGTGTAATAGTGGACTAATTTTGAGGCACGGCTGACAGGGTTGCAGGTTCAATTTCTCCTCTGAGAGAGATTTTTTTTTAGTTTCAACATTTTTTTATTGGTTATGATAAAAAAAAAATATTGGCATTATATTGCAGTTTTTATATACCTATTCTCGATCAATATTGGGTATGTATATCAAAATGCTGACATTTTGTTTTGGTGCAACATTGTTAATAATATTTTGCCAAAATTGAGATAAGTATTGTACCAATATTGCACCAATGTTGCTTGCTTCTTAGGAACATAATCACAACTCTTCATTCTTTTTCTTGTCGTCTGAACCACTGTTTAATAATAATATTGTGACATAACAATAATAATGCTGCATAAAAATAACAATAATTACGCATTGTTTAATGGGGTAACTCATTGTAAAGACTAAAAAGTAGAAAATATAATTTTTAGTACAAAAAGTATAACTTTTTTTGTACTAAAATAAAGAAAATAAACTTTTTAAAGATTGACTAAAGATTGAAAATTCTGCATAAAATTCATTTTGAAACAGACCTGCAAATCTTTTGTTTACTAAGCTATTAATTTAAATTAAAAAGTTTATTTTCTGCTTTTTAATAATTTTAGTTTTTCGTTTATTTTATACATTTTAGCAAATATTTATCTATTGAATGGCTAACTCAGTTAATGATGTTGTTAATATATATATATATATATATATATATATATATATATATATATATATATATATATATATATATATATATATATATATATATATATATATATATATATATATATATATATGTATATATATATATATATATATATATATATATATATATATATATATATATATATATATATATATATATATATATATATATATATATATATATATATATATATATATATATATATATAGATAGATAGATATATAGATAGATAGATAGATAGATAAAAAGATATCAATATAGATATAGATTAACATAGCTGGATAAACTGGATCCAGCACATTTCTAACTTGTATATTAATCTATATATTAATGAGTGTTTCGGAAAGACCACTCATTCACTTTTTGTTCCTTGTGTGTTTAGGAATTCTGAAAATGTTAAAAGACCTGGACTACATTAGGAAAAATACAGCAGGATTTAAAGTTTTGAAATTTTTTAATTTATCCTTTGCTGTCATTTTATATACTTAAGATTTAAAGACGATTGTTCTTATACTCTAAATGTCAAAAATTTTTTCTTAGTATTAGTGTCCTTAAGTTTTTCAACATTTTTGTGGTTCCTGTACACTAAAGACCAAAAAGCAAAATTGCTTTAGGTACTTATAAAAACTTGAGTCTTTCTGTCTCATCTCTGAACATTATTTTTATTCTTATAATAGTATTTAACTTGATGTTATTTATAAATAAAAAATAATAAAAATTAATATTTTAAAATATAATTGAATTTAAATGATATAAAAATTAACTTTTATATTGTTTTACACCTTTGTCATCATTAGGTTTAGAAATTCAACCTCAAGAAATAGGCATGCAACACAATTCAATACTAAGATTAAATGATAGCATGCAACACAATTCAATACTAAGATTAAATGATGGCATGCAACACAATTCAGTACTAAGATTAAATGATGAACTTGTTTTTAACCAGTCCCAAACATTTGAACAGCTTGAACTAATAGATATGAAACCAGTCAAACATAAAACCTGTACAAACACTGATGAGTTAACTGAAAGTGGTGAATGTGAAACTAGTCTAGTAGAACTTTTATCATTTGAGAAAGAAAAATTTTTTGTCTCTAGTTTCCAGCAAGAGAATGATAGTTTTTCTTTTGTTTGTAGTAAAGATTTTTCATCAAGTTTTTGTAAAAAAAATTATCATAACAAAATTGACATTTCTGAAGATATTACATTATTTCATCAAACAACAGAGCAGTTTTCATGTCAAACTTCACATCATGAGGTGCTTGATAAAGCTCCAAGCAATCGATCAAAGCGTGTAATACATTGCAAATGTCATAGTAAAAAGTATATAAACTCTTATTTAACAAAAAGATCAAAGAAAAAAAACAGAAAAAAATACACAGAAGATGAGTTTGTTAATATTTCATACAATTCTACTTCAACTAATAATTTAGTTACAGATGATTTTTCACGATTGGTTTGTTCAAACTGCCTTCAAGTTTTCCGAGATGAGCCTACAAAAAATATAAACAATGAAATTTCAGGCATAATTGATTGGGTTGATGTTGACAACAGTCAAAAATGTGGTGATTCATCTACAAGTAAAACATCTAAAATATATCAACCAATTGACTTGTAAGTTTCTAAAATTGAATTTTTTAAAAAGAAAATGTTTTTTTTTGTATTTTTACATTTGCAATATGATTTTATTCATATTACAATTTTATGATTGATTTAAACTAAAAAATTTAAACTTTTTTAGTTTATTTTTTTTATTAAAATGTAGTTTTTAATTTTTAATAATATTTATTTTATAATTATTATTTTTACTAGTTTACAGAGTTTGTTTTTTTATTTTTTATTTTTGTTTGTTTTTTAACTTTGATGTATTTAGTAAAGGAGTTTCTGTTTTTGAAAATGTCAATCAAGTTTGCAGTAATGGAGAAACTGTGTTACATCATGAGAGAAACGGTATCGAGGTTGGATTACATCATGAAAGGAATGATAGAAAGGTTGAAACAAGTTTATTTTATTCATGTTTAAAAGATATCTAGGTCTGCTTTTATGTTTTGGCCAGTTCAAATAATGAAGCTTTATGAAATAAAGGACTAATGTAGCAAAGAAATATTTTTTTTATACTCTTTCCCTTCTTTTTCATTTACACTCATTTATTCTTAGCATCATTTGTCTTTTGTATTCTTGATTTTTATATTCCATTTTAATTGTTTTTTATGCAAATATTTTTATTAATTCAGTTCCTACAATTGTTATGGTTTGCAGTGGAGTTCAATAGGAGTTACTTTTAAATCTTTGTTTGGTATTGATTATTATAACATTGTTTGGTATTGATTAGTATAACATCTTATAGACACTTTAATTTTATATATGCCATTAGGGTTTAATATCAATATAAAAAAATATTAAGTTTTTTTAAATATAAGTTTTTTCATATTGATTTTATAACTAATAATATCAATATGAAAAAACCTTTATAAAGTTTAAATTATTTTAATCAAATAGTAAAATTTGGCAACCCATAAAACAGGTAACTTCCAGGTATTTACACTTAACAAATTTACTTAAATTTATAGAAATCATTTTTGAAATCAAGCAGTGCTTGTGACTTTTTGAATTAGTTTCTTAAATGTTTTTTTTTAAAAAGCCAATTTCTTTTTACAATAATAGATACCAATTTAATAATTTTAAAAAAATAAGTTGATAAAAATGCAATAAAACCTGTAATTTATGTATGTTTGCTGGGTAATTTGAAAATTACTTGGTACATCGCAGGGTTTTTTTTATTTTAGGAAAGTAGTCTTATGATTTGGTCCTTTTACTTTAGAATTTTATTGTTTATAATTCTATTAAATAATATATAAGAAATAATAAGAAAATCTGAAAATAATATTTATCAATTTTATTGTCTAAACATGAGAAATACTTTGAAGTAGTAGTTTAATGATTTTTTACACGAATTCAATGGTGTAGTTATAATTATTCAAATAGTGTTTATAAAATATGTTTAACAAATGAAAAGGTATTATACAAGATTAATTACATCTAGTTTAAAAATCTAGTTTGCCAGGGGTGCGACCTTAACCCTTTAACAGTCCCGTGCTGTTTTTAAAATACGGTTGCTATTAGTCCAGCTTTTTTTTTCGAAGTGGTCTTTAAATGTCCCGCGTTTTTAAAATCATCATGTTTTTTTATTAATAAAATAAAAAAAGTTTTTTACTATTTTTAACAATATTAAACACTACAAAATGTTATTATTCAAGTTTAAGAATATATAATATTCTTTTCTAAATAGTGGTTTCTAAATAATATATTTTCTTCTAATATATATTATTTAGAAACCACTTTAAGTTTGCATAATATTATGGCATGGACTCTTAACAGGTTAGTTTTAGTTTATCTCTATCATTCAACCATATTTTTATTTATCTTTCTTATTTATTTTTTATTTTTTATATTTTCTCTTATTTATATTTTTAGTTATATCTATACAACTTTTAAAGTTTGTTTAAAATTTTGTTATTGTAAATCATTCAGCTCTTGGAATTAGGATCGGCATTCCCCAATGCTGACCTGACAGTTTCTGAGGTCTACAACTTTTGCCAACCTTGCTTTTGTTGTTATTAATATTGTTTTATTTGCCAACCTTGTTTTTATGTTGTTGTGGTTATTATTACTTGTCTCTGGCCTTGGCAGGAAGCGAGAGCTTTAGCCCTCGTTCTTGCCCAAACTCCCCTAAAACGGTTTACGGGTGCAAATTATGGCTTTCGCAAAAGTGTCTCAAAAGTATAATTATCATTGTAACTAAAATGAAAAACACAGATTTATTTTTTATAAAAATTAATTGCATAACAAGCTGCAATGCCTTTTAAAATGCATGGTTGTTACAAAAAAGGGAAAATTAATTGCTTTAAATGATTTAAATGCAAATGTTTTTGATTAGATTGAACTAAATGATAAATATAAAATTATTACATGCAAAGTTATTGCATAATAGTTTTTTTTTTATATAATGAGTTGTATATTTTATATATTAATTACTTAAATATATTATTGACTTTTGTTGTGATCTATTTAATTGTAATAATTCTTAAATTGCCTGCATTCATATTACAATAAGAAAAGAAAAAAGATTTTTCATAAAACTTTTATAACCCTTTTTTATTCAAATAAGTAATGTTAATAAATTAATAGATAACTAATGTGAAAACCCAACAACAACGCTCATCTCATGATATTTTTCACGGCGCAATAAATGACACTTGTTATGTATATATTCTTGCAACATTAACGCTATAAACATGTGCTTGTAACAAGTATTAAACCTAATTTTGTTTTTAAGAAACAACTTTTTAATTAATAAACAGAACACTTGCACAAAATTCAAAAACTCTCATAAGAAGCTGTTTAGAGGAGCTTTTCTTCGCTCTCGCACTCATTTACTTCTGCCGAGGCCTGTTGTCAAGTAAAACAAACTAGAACAAACAAGGCATTTATTTTCATTTCAAAGTCTTGTAAAAGTTGCTCCTTTGTTTAGTAATAATCTAAATTATAATAATTTTAATATTTATTTTTGATAATCAGTTAGCACTGATTATTAAAAATTTAAAGTGTTTATAGTTTTATTTGTATTAACTATTGTTTTTGTTTGTTAATCATTATATTATTATTATTATTATTAAATTGAAATAAATAGTGTACATACACTGACAAATCTGTAATTCCATTTTTTGGGTCTAGGAACCAGAAGCACCCAAACTCATGAAAATGATGGATAATATGGTTCTTCAATTATAAACAAATGAAATTGTTTTATAATAATTTTTTTTTTTAATTTTACAGTTTTATAATTTATACAAGTATGTTTAAATAAGTTACATTAGAAAATAATCTAATGAAAAAATATTGTGATTTCATTAATTTTATGTCTTACTTAGTCTTAATTAATTGTTAAATTTTTCGATTGTAAGAGATAAATTTACAGAAATCAATTTTTCATCAGGTTAATATCAAATGTGGCTAACATTTTCTAATTTTCTTCACCATTCCATTAATGTTCTCTATACAAATTACTATATATAATATGACCATTTAAATTATTAAATATAAAAACAATAATCTTAATTGTACATTTTTTTTTTTAAAGTTTTTGTTTTTATTTTTTCATGTGTTATATTTATGTATAGATTGCTGTTAATTAAAGAAATTAGGTTCTACCAGGGGTACCAGGGGCGGATCCAGACCATCTAGTAAGAGATGGAAAGGCATTTTTTTTTTTTTTTTGATTTGGTGGATCAAGACTATCTAGTAAAGAAGGAAGGCAAATTTTTTGGTTTACCTGTTCACAAACGTTTTGTGAACAGGTAAACCCACAAAAATTGGTCTTACAGTGTCTTATACTATTGTCTTATATTATGAAATTAAATCATGTATTGATATACAATTTTATTAAATTTTAATATCACTTTTTAACAGCCTCCTCAATTTACTTCTGTTTTCAAACATTGAAATATCTAAAGGGAATGGAAGGCCCACCTCCTTATGGATCCTTATGGACCCAGATTTATTCGTTTAAGCATAGCTTTTGATTTTTTTTTTTTTAATTTTGTGGTTGTCTAATGTTGCCCTATGGTAGAGACAAATTAGCAATTTAATGTAACACTAATATTAATCTATATTAATATTACTGTTACTTTAAGTTAGATTTGTAATAGTTGTACTAGGTGGAATATCCTTTAGTTCTACTGAAAGGTTTAGTGTATGCTGTTGGTTTATTTCAGGTCAAACTGATGCTCTGGCAAATTTAATGTTTTAACAGTTATGTTGTCTAATCTTATATCTTTTTAAGACAGATATTGGACTTCAATTCCTGTGTAATTATTTTTAAACATAACAGTTTTTACTCAAAGTTTGTCAAAAAAATTTTTTACAATAGTCCAAAGGTCAATAGTGTCCAATGGAAATCCCCATTTAGAGCAAATTGCAATATATTTAATAAATATCATCTCTGTATCTTATAGGAAGTGACCAAGGCCCCAGCCCCAGCTAAATATGAGACAAAACTACAAGATTTAGCAGGGGTTGATAGTTAGGGCTAAAAAAAAATTTATAATACTTTATATATTAAAATTTTATACTTACAATTACTATTTATTAAATACTGTCATATATTTGTATATTTTCAAACTCTTATTTACTTTCAACAAGGTTGCAAGCAGCCACTATTAAGTTATGAGTTACTTTAAAATAGTGGATAGGGTTAAAAATTTAGGAAATGGTTAACTGTAGACTTAAAAAGTTGTAGGTTGTATAAAAAAAGGAAAAAATGAAGATGGGTAAGAGTTATAAGGCTTTTTCCATGTGCAAAGTAAAAACTGGATTAATAAAAGTTTATAGCATGAAGGGACAGATACAGTAAAAAAAAGCAACTTGTTGAAGAAGAAGCCAATCAAGAATGAGTTTTGGTTTATCGTCATAGCTTGTTTGAGCATGATCGTATTTAAAGAAAAAAGAAAAAAATGCAACCTTACAACAATGGAAAAGTGGCTCAAGTTTAGCAGATAACACAGGTCTAATTACATTTACAATGTGCTTTTAGATTTTGTCTGAGAGTTAGAGAGTTGCTATTTGTCAATATAGGAATGCCAACAATTTTGCAATATTTTTTATAAATTAATGAGTTTTTCTGTCTAACAAAAATTGTGGATTTTAAGTTCAGAACTTAAATTCAAAAGCCACTGCAAGCCTTAAGCTGTTACAGAAGAGAGATCAAATTAAAAATTGGCTGCTTGTTTTAAGCAATCAAAAATTTGAGATTTTTTGTCAAGGCAAGAGTATAAAGTTGAGTCGTCAGCAAATAGAGCCACTTTAGATAAAAAATTTTCATGAAGATCATTATTGTAGATAAGAAACAATACAACAGCAAAGATAGAGCTTTGTGGTACCATAAAGTTACTTGCAATGAAGAAGAGTATAGGTCTTCAAGAATTACTTAATA